AACCAGTGCAACGGGACAGAACCAGTGCAATGGGTCAGAACCAGTGCAACGGGACAGAACCAGTGCAACGGGACAGAACCAGTGCAAGGGGTCAGAACCAGTGCAACGGGACAGAACCAGTGCAACGGGACAGAACCAGTGCAAGGGGTCAGAACCAGTGCAACGGGACAGAACCAGTGCAACGGGACAGAACCAGTGCAAGGGGTCAGAACCAGTGCAACGGGACAGAACCAGTGCAATGGGACAGAACCAGTGCAGACCAGAAGGTCCCTTAAAGGTGGGTGGCGCTCAGTGAGAAGCGGAGAACATCCAGCAGGCGTTCTGCAGTTCAGGAAGGATCTACAAACCGGAGCAAAGAAGTCGACGAGCCACGGCTCCTTCCTGTTGGAGGGGAAGTTGTCTGGCCTCAGCGTGGTCACATGAGCGCGAACGCTCTCCCTGGCAAAACCCACGATGTTGTAGAGCACGTCCTTCCCTGCAGACAGACACGGTGAAGATCAACAGACCTGCGGCGTGCAGAGCAGCCATCGAAATGAAGGCGTGGTCCAGACCGTGGTGGATCTCAAAGTCGTTGATTCCCAGTCCTTTGAAAACGGCCACACAGGGTTTCTGGATGTACAGAGACTGACACAGCTGGCGCTCTGCGGCGCAGTCCACCCGCCCCACCTGCAGACAGGAGCTCAGTCAGGACAACGCTGCAGACGGACGGCGGGACGCCCGCAGCTGGAGACGCCCGCAGATGGAGACGCCCGCAGATGGAGACGCCCGCAGCTGGAGACGCCCGCAGACAGACGGCTGGACGCCTACCTGGATGTGGTCGTTTCGGAGGAGAGCGCGGAGCTTCTTGTACTCGCTGGAGGCAGACCCGCTACTGAAGGTAAAACTGATCAGCCAGCGATGATGCGCCAGTTTCTCCTGCAAAGCGTCAGAATGAAGGTTTAGTCTGTAGACTATCGCCCCCTGCAGGCCTGAAGCTGCCGCTGTCTGACCTTGAAAGTGTCCGTGGACAGCAGGTCCAGATCAGGCAGATGATGGAGGACCTGCTTGTAGATCTCTCTGCTGTCCAGAGTCTCCAGCCACTGAAGGACATGAACAGAATGAGGACAGATGTTCTGCTGACCGTCCCTCAGAACATTCAGCAGCTTCTCCTACCAGAACGCTGTCCTGTTGATCCACAGCGCTTCCAGGAGGGAACAGAGCCGTGGCTCCACTGCTCACCTGGAAGAAAAACACAAACACTTCCAGTCCCGGTTAAACTTCACTCTCATTTTGGGACAGACTATCGTTTGGACCCCCCACCAGTGGTAAGGGCCCCTCCTCACTGTGATGGATTATCTAAGAAAGGGGAAATTTGGGATTTCAGGTCAGCATGGGGCATCAGCGTGTTGCCATAGCAATGAGTGTTTTCCTTTCTGGGTGGAGGGACTAGGACGTCAGCTTCCTGGGACGGAATTATTGCTGGAGGGGTGGGGGTTGGGGGGCTGTTGAGCTCTGACTCAGCTGAGACTCACCTGGAAACTGTCACAGAGCTGCTGCTGGACGCTGCAGTCCATCCAGCCCACCTTCACCAGACCGTCCTGCAGACAGAGACAGATCATCTATTTCTATGTCCAATGATGGATGGATGGATGGATGGATGGATG